TACTCACTTAAAACGAAGGACCGCGAAGGACTGAAGGACCTAACCGACGGACTTAAATGGGTGTAATGACTATAAAACCTGATACAAATTATGTGTTATACGTTGCATTTGTTCTCAAATTATGCAGTCGCGATTAAATTTACAAAAATAATAAAAAGCGAAGGACCACAATTATTTTATAAATATGAGCGAAGGACCTCGTTTTATTGTAAATATGAGCGAAGGACCACGATTATATTATAAATATGAGTGAAGGACCATGATTACGTGATAAAAATGAGCAAGGATCACGTTTTTATTGTAAATATGAGCGAATGACCATTATTACGTGGCTAATATGAGCGAAGGACCACGATTATATTATAAATATGAGCGAAGGACCACGTTTATATTATAAATTTGCAAAATTAAAGCAGTTTACAGTAACTAATGTACAGATATTTACTGTTCTTTGAATAAAGCAATGTGGATGAATCATTGATACCCTGTATTATGTGGTAAAATTGTCACCTTGTGAACACTACATCAGCTACTGCAGCTACATGTCACTGTTTATTTTGTAGGCCAAGATTCCACTATCAGATTATTTATTGGAATTATTGATGGATTCTTTGGATTCCGATATGAATGACCAGCTGGATTACAGAGAGCTAGCCAAAGGAATAAAGGACTATCAATTGGAAGAAAGAAAAAGAAAGAAAGAACTGATGGAGTCTTCAGGTATTAATCTTTTCACCACTTTTTATCATATGAGTGATTATCTGTCATTGTCCGTCGTCGTCCGGCTATCGTCGTCCGTGTCAATGTTTTACTTTTTCAACTTCTTCTTGAAAACTACAAGCCTGAATGCTTTGATACTTGGTGTATATGTACCTTGGGTAGACCTCTCTTAGATTTGTTCATTTCATGATGATATCTTCAATTCTCTAATTTTGGTGAATATTTTTGTTATTTTTGGTAAAAAGTGATATTTTCAACTTCTTGTTAAAAACCGCAAGTACAATTGCTTTGATATTACATATATAGGTACTACATGTGGACCTCTCTCAGATTTGTTCATTTTGTAATGATATCTTCAATTCTCTAATTTTAGTGAATATTTTTGTAATTTTTGGTAAAAAGTGATATTTACAACTTCTTGTTGAAAACCGCAAGTCCAATTGCTTTGATATTACATATATAGGTACTACATGTGGTTCTAACCCAGATTTGTTCATTTCATGATGATATCTTCAATTCTCTAATTTTGATGAATATTTTTGGTAAAAGGTGATATTTTCCACTTCTTGTTGAAAACCGCAAGTCTGATTGTTTTGATACTATACATTTTGTTCATTTTCTAATGATATCTTCTGTTCTTTAATCGAAATGTGCATTGCTAACAGCGGAGCTATCTCAGCCGAGAGGCTGCTTGTTTTCTTGTATTCTTCAATATTTCTGGAAATGAACCCTACCAGTAATTTTAAAGCCAACAGTCAAAATATGAGTAAATTTTCAGTTTTTAGTCAAAAAATTTGGCTATTTTTGTCCTAGTCTTCTGAAGAAAAGTATAAATTTGTGGACTATTTTGTGATAAAAAGAGGGAACTGGTGGTGAAAAGATACATACTAACATTAAATTAGCATACCATATTAGCTTTTCTACTAGTGCATAAAGTTAATGACAGAAGTGTCTCTGTGTATTCGAGAAGTGGTTCTAGCTGAGCAAATACATCATATACTCTTATCATGAA